TTTAGAACTTTCTTTAAAAGTCCTCCCCACCTTGTTTGGGGCCATTTCCAGTGCTGCTTGCGGAGGCAGATCAGACTCCTGGGGAGGTAAAAACTCCTTCATTGTAGGCTCTTCCTCACTTAGTTAATTTCATTACAGTCTCCCTAATGGAAAGAGGCAATTTGATGGGTGACATTTATTTGAGAAAATGCAAAATTGATAGCAGCAAATGCATGAGCCTGACGAGGTCTTTCTCTTTCCAGAGTCAGCCCCGCTCCGACAGGGAAACTCTGAGCATAGGTGCATGGCCATGTCTGCTCACCCCTGCACTCCTGCTGCCTCACAGCGCCGGGCGGGGCTCCCAGGATGCGCTCCATAAATACTGGTGGCATAAATGAATAAATCAATGGCGGATATTTGGATTTCAATATAAACGGATCCGGGACCTGAGATATTGCCAGATGGGCTGACAGGGTACAGTCTAGCGATGCATCTCCAAGGCTATAAAAATGTAGACATTTCTGGAGTCACAGGCTGACATTTCAGAAGGTGATTATATGCACAATTTAACCACACGGCCATCCGTGCCCTCCGAGTGCCATCGTTTCAACAACTGTTTTCATGTTGGCTTTCTTGTTCGTTCCTTTTTTTTTTAAGTCGAGCACAATTTTTTTCCCCCCAGCTCCTCACATTTCTAACGGAATGTGATTTATGCACATGAAATTAGGCTCCATTTTTATAAAACCCAAGTTACTGCCGACGACGCTTGAGGTTTCACAGCACATAGGAATTCGTGGTCGGCAGCCTCACAGCACCGCTGCTCGCTCTGCAGCGGCAATGTCGCTCCCAGACAGATGGAAGCGGTCCAAGGGGATGATTAACTTCTGGGTCCTCTCAGTCCTCACGCGCGCCTTGCCCTAGATTTCAAGATTGACCTCCAGCTTCTCTGCAAACGCACAGTTGCTCGGCTTGATAAATCACACGGATCCTTCTTTTGATCACAGCTATCTACTATTTACTGCTCAGGAAGGGAAGTTAATCACACCCTTAGGCACTTCATATGCTGCACACACGCCCTTCCTCCTCTCCCAGCACTCCACACACTCCCCACATTACCAGCAACAAGGCGGCATGCCCAGTGCCTGCGTCCCCACCAGACACACTCTTACCAGTGACCCTCATGCCCACCTATCCCTGTTGTCCTCTGCGTCTCTCTACCCCACCCAACGCAATCATCCATGAGAAGAAAAGATACCTGATAGATAATGTATTACAGAATTGCACACCTGAAACTTATGTAACTTTACTAACCATTGTCACCCCCAATAAACTTTAATTAAAACAAAAAAAAGACACTTGAGAGGCACATTCTAAGGAGTAAGTAGGAAGGATGGTGTCTCTTTGCAAACTGAGGTTTTTTTTGTTTGTTTTGTAATTGGCTTGTTTACCTTGCTGAGAATTTTGCTCCCTCTCCTTGCTCTGGTATCCTGATTTTTTTTTTTCATCATTTGGGGTATTGGTGGGCCTCTGGTAGGCCAAGTGATGCTCAATGGCATAAAATAGATGAAAAACTCAGCAGTCAGCAGAAAAAAAAGAACAAAAAAGCGCCATCCCACCTACAAACGACCCTTCCTGTCACTACAGGGGGTTGGGGTCTGGGTAGAGGGGTGGGGGGACACAAAAGTGAGCTGGGCTGAAGCCCAGATTTGCCCCCGGGATTCCCATGTGGAACTGTGGACACTTTGGCTGTTTTGGCTGAATCATAAATTAAGCCCATTGCTCAGGCAAAACCAAACCAGGCCAGCGGTTTTCTTTAGGAGTGACCACAGATGGTTTTTAAATGAAGTAATGAACTACCATAGTTGTAATTGATCAGGGTTGTGCATTAATTACTGAGGGTTCACTGAACTGAAAGCATACATTCTTAACTGCCAGATATTGGGTTTCTGCCAGAGTGCCTATTTAAGCCAGGAAACCGGAGAAGTGAAAAGACAGATGAGATTGGCCTTTAGAAAACATCTGGATATTCTCTCCCCTCTGACAGCCGACCAGGATGAGCTTTCTATGGTCCTTAGAAAGGAAAGGGAAAGGCCACCCCTCTGCCTTAGAACTAGTCTCATTAGGTCTGGTCTGCACGCCTCGGAGGGAGGCTGCCTTCCAGGGAGGCAGAAAACAACAGGCTTCCTCCACTGTAAACTCACATGCCCTCACAACCCCAAGTCACACCAACGATATCATCACCAAGTTGCACATCTTGAAACAAAACAGCTCCAACTCCTGTATGCAACGTCCTTGTGTTTACCAGGTACTCAAGGTTAAATGGAAGGGGGTCGGGCCCACAGATGAGCACATGAATGGGACGTGAGGCAAGGAGCCTGTGCTGGCATGAACTGGGCCAATCTGGGCTGCTCTGCTCAATTCCAAGAACTGCAAAACTCAGGAAGCACCTGTGGGGGTCTGAAAGTGCTCTCTTTTTCTAGGACAAAAGTAAAAGTGCTGCCTACCCGTTATGGAATTTTATAGCCACAGGTGATTCACAGGCTGAAAAAAAAAAAGTTTGGGAAACCAGAATAGTTTGTGTAAGTGAATGTATAATAGATGAATACCACCAGGCTATAACTGGCCAGAGATACTGGGGTTAGACTCCCACCTTGGGAAGGTCACAACCTGGAGGGAATTTTTTACTTAGTTCCATTCCCACCCTGAGGGGGTTCCTCTGACAGACTGAACAGTATGCAAGTCGTGCAGTGGTCTGAGCAGGAGTCACATTGATCATGTTCTAGAAAATACTGGTTTATTCAACAGAATAGGTAGGATAGAAGATGACTTCTGTCACTTGGTAAGTTAGCATTCTCTAATTTAAGAAACTAGAAAACATGAATGAATCCAATCAATTCAGGAGGTGTCTCAAGCCCTTATTTTGAAGAATAGTTTTAAATTGTATCTCCAAATGATTACAGATGCTTCTCGCCATGGAAGTTACTCGTGTGGGCCTGCATGAGTGGGAAGCATAGAAGAGAAAAAGCACAGTGAAGGTAGCTTCACACAATTGCATCGTTAGAACGGCACATTCAACTCATTACTTTGAATTGAGCCAAGTTCCCCCAATTTTGAACAGAAAAAACTGTTAGATTTAAGGGGGAAATGCTCTATTACATTTGAAGGCAGAGAAATTCGTAGGAAGAGTAATGACAATGGGAACCTCTGTGTCTGTTTCTAGGGGATGGGCTTTTTTCTCACAGTTTCTGCACTTAACAGTTACAACCAACAGGGGCTAAGATGATAATTTACCAGCTGACTAGCTGTTGGGCTTGATCAGGGGTAGGAGAGAATATCAGGAAAAAGTCAAAAGGAATAACATTGCTCATCACTAAAACCCTGGCACCGTTTCTACCCAGGACAGAGTCACACATCGTTGGGATGAAGCCTCAGAATGTATTGGTTCTAGTTCCTGATTTCTGATTCTATTTTGCAACCAGGCCTTCAAAGGGAGTCCATACTTTCCTAAAACAGGTTTTGATTCATTCTACCAGAGGTCATAATGACATTTTGTATCTATATATGTAACTTTATTGAAATATAATTTATGCACCATAAAGCTTACCCATTTTAAAGTATGCAATTCAATGATTTTTTAGCATATTTACAAGGTTGTGAAACCATCGCCATAGTACAATTTTACATTTTCAGTAATCCAAAGAAACCTTGTAATCACTGGCAATTACATACTGAGTGAGGGCTTTCTCTTGCTTCTCAGTGCATTTTGTTGAAGGAATCACTTATTTAAGAAGTCAAAGGGAAAAAAGAAATAGGTAGATGAAAGGAATTAACGTGTCAGACTTTAAATGTTTTGATCCAGTCTCTCCTCCTTCTACCAACAGACTCAGAAGCAGTACAGTTGTCAGCTTTTGTGAAAATCCCAGAAGGAATTCCAGGAGACCACGTGGCAGCCACTCGTAGAGCACACAAGCTTGTGTGGTTGTCATGGGAAGGCTTTTCAATGGAAATACAAAGACTCAAGCTCCGCCTGCCACCAGAGGACACGTTGTCCACCCATGCACACAGATAATTTGCTTAAGTGACAGGTTTTACCTTGGAGAAGCTAAACTGAGCTAGTTGACACAGTCAATTATTGCTCATTCCACAAAATAAAGAACTGGGAAGGAAGGGAAGGCAGTGACAGGTCGCTAGGTAACACTGAGGTGCCCACCAGCCAGCCGGGGAAACATTTCCAGCTGTAACTGACACTGTAAGAACCTCATTTGTGGAGAGAAAAACAGGGACTTGGTCTTTACCTCCTGATAATCCGTTAACACACACACACACACACACACACACACACACACACACACACACACACCTTAGCAAGTGAAAAAAAACCCAACCAAAACAAAAAAGGGTCTGGTCTGTGCTAGAAAGTAACTTTTTATATCTCTGTTCCACTTTCTTTATACAGCAAAGCGGATGTGAAATAGAACTCGAATGTGTTAGTTGATTAGGTTTATATATCTCATTCAACAGTACCATCCGAAAAAAAAACAGCTGAAGCATGGAGTAAAAAGTCAGGCACTCAGGACCATGAATTGGGTTACGTGCATAAAGTATATTCCAAGAGAGAATCTCATCAAAAGACAGATAGCTCCCGGGGAAATGAGATGGAAAAAGTCGGAAGAAAACACCTCACAATAAATGAAGTACTTATTGCTGAGAAATGAGTTTACATCTCAACCAATTCTGAAGTTCAGGATTTACTGTGCCATTCAGGCCTTTTCCTCTAGTTCCCTGTCTCTTGTTTCACTGTGTGACGAGGGTCTCGCCACACTTTCTGTGAAATACAACAAGCCGGTTCTTTGCAGTAATAAACTCCACACGTGCGTGACAAATCCAAGCACACAAAAACGTTTAAACCCCAGTTCCCAGACACTGGAGGGGCAAAATCCGATTATGAATTATATGCCACAATAAATAGGGCTCAATGTTTCATAAAGCAATTTATAGTTCATAAAAATGACAAAACGTACCTGTCAGACAGAGCGTGGAGAGCCGTTCTCTGGGCTGCCTGCTGGAAGAAAGGGCAGAGATGTTTATTTAGTATTCTGACTTTTAAATTATGTGCTCAATCAACACTTAAAACAAAAACCCATGTCACACATATTTGTGAAGTGTGGCCAAATATTAAACTACTAAGAACACAGTAAGAGTCCTATCATGTTACGAAAGGAACATTCCTTGAAGAGTTAACTGAAACCCCTGCAGTGCCCACATGCCACCAGGGGGCGAGCTTGGGGAGGCAGGAAGTACTGACAGGTGAGGACGGACAGGCCTCAGGAGACCCCGTGAGAATCAGACCTTTTTGATTTTTACTCCCTGAAATCACTTTACCATTGTTTTATTCTACTTTGCTGAAAAAGATCTGTTTTGGTTCCTTTATAGCTTCTCTCCCAATGAAGGTGTAATTTTAGACCCAATTTTCAGATTTATTGAAAAAAAAGTCACCACAATTGGAAACTGGAACACTGACTGGAAACGTGATAATATTATGAGATTATTGATTTATTTAAGACTTAGTAATGATTCTGTGGCAATTTTAGAAGAGTCTTTAGAGATCCATATTGAAATATTTATGGATACCAATTTTATGGTTTTTGGGATTTGCTTTAAATTAATATATTTGAAGGGAAGGGAGAGCAGGTAGGCACATCCGAGTGAAACAAGATAGCCTTGGATTGATAACTGTTGAAACTAGGCGATGAGCACACTGGGGATTATTATATTATTCTAGACATCTTCGTATGTGTTGAACTTTTCCATCAAACAAAAACTAAAAGAAAAAAAAATAAAAAGGCCTCCATTTCTCCATCAGATTTTCCCCATTTTGTAGTCACTTTTCTTTTCTCTGCCTAGTCTATCTTTTGCCCATTTGCCTTCTATTGCCGAACACTCGGAGACTTTGGAAGGTAGAAGACATGCTCTGTTCTGTCTCAGAAGTCGTAAGTGGGAGGGGATCAAAGCATGGCCTTAAGACCAAGGCTTGCTCAGGGTGCACCAGGAAATAAGACCTGCGTGCAGTCTGTTTTCACCGTGTACACTACACACGTCAAGTTCACTGTTTACCGGGGACACCAAAATGTTTCCCACGCTAGTCCTCACTACATTTGGATAGCAGACAAAACAGAATCTTAAAATTAGGAAAAACATGAGCCATCAGAACCATGTTCCCTCTTGCAGAAATGAAATCTACCCTTGGTGATAAATGCGTGTCAGTCCAAGAGTCCCTGAATTCCTACCACATGGAGGCGGTTGCACTGGGCTGCAGGAAGGATAAAAACAAAGCAGAAGCAGCAGTCACTGTCTTGGAGGAGCTCAGTCCCCAGGCAGGAAGTCAGAACAGAGGTCCACAGACGGCTTGAAGACACTTGTGAACTATCACGCAAATACAAAGATGAAGCTAGGATGGTGCCGGAAGGTGCGGATGTGAGTGGTAACTGATGGGGGGTGGGGGTCAACAGCAACGCAGGCAGTGCCTGGGACTGTGAGCAGGTGCTTAGCAAATATCCACTGGGTGAACGTTAAAGGAATGACTCCATTAGGGAATCCTTCCCACTAAAATTTGAACAAAACTTTAAAGACAAGGAAGGGATGTGGCTGGGGAGTCAAGAGGTGTTAATCGTACTGGACTAGAAAGGCAGAGCAAGGGCCATCCAAGCCTCTAACAGCGGTTCTGAACTTGGGGGAACCCTTCCCCCCAACCCCGGGGTGTCTGGAATTGAGTAGGGGTGTTTCTGTACATTACATTCACGAGGGAGATCACTATTGGCAATTAGTGCCTGGGGCCAGCCTTTCAAAAATCCCCTTGTATGAGGAATGGGCCCCTTAAAATGACAGGGTGTTTCTGTGGAGAAATACTGCCGCAAAATAGGAATGAAAGGCAGATCTGACAGAAGTGACATAGGGAACATTAATTTCTAGGCCTGGCAAAAGGAACTGAAACTGAATTCATAACAGGAACTTAGATAATTTCCACAAATGACATGACCACACTGATTTAGGAAAACACATAAAATCTGTTGAACTGGGCATGTGAAAGTCTTCCATTCTGGGGCAGGCTCTGCCATTCATTTATGTTATGAGCCTTGAGTCTGGCCCTCAGCCTATGGCTCAGCTTCCAAGCTGCTCTTTCTGCCATGAGTGGAATGACGAGGGCGCTCGTCTGCTGATGTCCAGGATACTGTGGGCTATCTATCTGCGGGGTTACTGTCCCCTCCTTCTTCCCTGGATTCCGGTGAATTAAAGCCCCAATGCTCTGGTGTTCCAGTGTCACATAATCAGTTCCAGAGAGGGAAGAATAATATCTATAGAGCTTTCTCTTGATGAGGACACTTGAGGCAGTAGAAAGAGGGGAGGGAAAGAGGTGAGAAGCCTGAGGAAGGCTTGGAGACCAGGAGATCCCCTCCGACACCTCAGAGGATGAGCACTTCCTTCTCTCTCCGCTCACTCCTTCCTCTGTGCTCTCCCAGAGAGCCAGCCCAGGAGCACGGTCACCAAAGCACCCAGCAGGTGACGGGCAGCCATCATTGTTCCCAGGTCTGTCTCCTAAAGAGTTCTCTTATCACTCGACAAGATGGCTTGGCTTTCACTTTTGGAAACTACACTTGAAAAGAAGACTCCTGACCCTGTTTGGCTAAATATACACAAAGTATTTTGAACTCCCTAAAGGAAGGATGGCATGCATTATTAGGACAGTCTCTTAACATCATCTCAGCAGAGGCTTGGACACAGACTCTTCCTGGAATGATACCAATCATGGCAGATGTGACTGAAAATTTAACAGAAATCTCTAACATGGCATCTGAATTTTCCCCTAGCCAGGGCTGGCCGTATTTAAAAAGTCTGTTCACTTTTTTCTCCCTTGCCTTCAAATATTTCCCGCAGACTTCTGTGATAATGAAACAGTGCTTGTTGATGTTACGTCTATAACAAAATGGTTTCAAAAACAAAAGCAAAACAAAACAAACAAAAAAGCAACAGCCATTCGACCATCACTGGAGTGGTACATCCCATGTTGGGTAATGGCATTGGACCACTGTTGGCTGAGTCCTCTAAGGAAGCTGAGCTGGAAGCCTGGAGTAGGGGTTGCTTTCCTTAAGCACATAGATGTGATGTTGGGACCAAAAGGTGCTTTGGACTTATACATCGGGAATCTCACCAGTCATTAAACAATGACTTTCTGTGATCCTCACCCTTTAATCTGTCACCACGACATGTTTCCAGACACTTAACACCGTGGTACTCAGCACCATCGACTGCCTACCTCACAATTTTTAATGCCTGATTTTGATTACGCTATTTAATTTGCAGTTTCTCTACATCATTAAAAAACTTTACAGTGGATAGACTCATCATCCATCAAGAAAAGAGACGAGAATATGTTAGATGTTTTAAATAATACCTTGAGGAAAAAAAGCTTTATGTCATTAAAGTTATATGTCATACTCGTATACCAAAGCAAAGACAGCCAATATTTTCTTTTTTTTTTACCACCTCCTTTTTAAAATATACTTTGGCTTTTGGACACTATTTTCTTTTACTGTTGGAAAAATAATAAAATAAATAAACACTGGAATTACATTGCAGAGAAAAAGTTACTTAGGTGACTCATAATTGAAGCCTGAAAAACAACTCATAGTAAACTAGATGAATTGCCCAATTTCCTTCTTTCAAGAGTTGTATGTTACAGCAACCATATTTCTCTCTTTCTAAATCATCATCTCCTCTAGTAGCTCCCCTCTCATCCAGTTCGCAGCAAAATAGGTTGAGAGGGTTAAGAGAATGCTTCATTGATCTTCCCTGAGTTCATTACTCATTCATAAATCTCTGAAGCCTAAGTCTGTGAGACAAAACAAGTTTTCTGCCAGAAATAATCATTTTCCAGGCTCTCTTCAAGAGATTACATGTTTCCCCTGTAGCAAGCTTGTTCCTTGGGAACATAATCAGTAGACATTTAGGTTTTGAGGTGCGCTAAATAAATTACCAGTCACAATCTGTTATTGAAGGGAAATCAAAGAGGAAATTAAGTGCCCTTATTGTAATTGGGTGGAGAACAGGACAACCCACTGCAGTGGGGAGAACAAAGAGACGAGGCTGAAATTCAGAGGGGTGCCAGGAGGAACCCAGTTCCTTCTCACTTGATAGAAACAGAACTAACATGGGGACAGCTCCATAAGTCAATCGAAGTACCTGTTCTGTGAAGGTAATAGGCTCGGCTTGGGTGACAATCAAAATAGACAAAGCAGCTCACCACATTGTACCGAGGGTCTAGAGGTAAGTCAGACATGAAAAGATAAACATACACACAGATTCTAGATTATAGGGGCTATGACTGAAAAGGAGAGGGTGCTATGAAACAGAATGGGACGGGGGCCTCACATGGAGTATGTGGTCAAGGAAGGCTTGCCACATAAGGGATGACAAAGCGGACGCCTGGGGATAAAGAGCTATTGAAGCAGAGAAATAGGAGTGGGTGGGGAAGACTCCAGGCAGGCCTACATCCTTGCTCAGTTTGAGAACTACAAGAAGGTCACTGTGGGGGAACTCAGCGAGTGATGGGGACACTGGCAGGTCCCCAAGGGTCTAGGAGGTCAAGTTAAGGGTTTCGGGTACTATCCACAGGGCAATTAGAAGTCATGGAATGGTTTACACTGGGGGAAGCTGGGGGAAGGATGTATAAGACCTGCCTATACACTCTTTGCATGATCAGGTGGATCTTCAATTTAAAAAAAAGGAGTGGGGAGTGAGGCAATATGATTTACATTTTTCAAATACTGCTCTAGCTTCTGTGTGGTGAATGGATTTGGGCAGGAAGGGACAAAGTTTGAAGTTGTTGCAGTAATGCAGGCAAGAGGACTGTATGGTAGCACTGGAGATGGAGAGTTTGTGTTATATTTTGGAGGCAGGATGGGGAAAATTCGTGATTGACTGGAGGTGGCAGGCCAGGGGAGGTGGCAGGAATGAGTCTCAGGTTCCAGTTTGAGCCCCTGATATGGATGGAGAGCCACTGACTAG